TTGCAAAGGGGAAAAATCAAGCCCACCTGGGAGAAGAGATAACAGGAGTTAATCATGTGCAAACTGCTTTGAGGAAAAAAGTGCACAATCCAGTTTAAAGCCTCATTTTAAATTATTCCTGTGCACTAATTTTCTGCTTCATTTTATTGACATAATTGATGCTATACTTCACCACATCTTGGAAATACACTGCAATGAGCACGTTTCTTTCTGATACATGTTTTTTCAAATAAATAGCAAAGAAATGATAATTTATTACAGTGTATTTTTCACATGAAAGTTGACTTAAATGTGTTTTGTGGCTTTTTTTGTGCTATGTTTCCTCTCTGCAAGCAAATACTGAATTCTAAAACCAAGTCAGTATTGTAGTGTCTATGCCATATTACTCCACTGGTAAGCTCAGCATTGCAGTGGTATTTGAGAGTGTCCAGAAGAAACATTTTTTCAGAGAGACAGATGGCACAGAAGGCCAAAAGTATCTATACAAGTTACAACCATACCAATTTTTCTGAAATATATACAGGAGTACATAGAGGAAAATAAATGTTGCCAGGTACGAACACCAGGAATTTCTATAGCATCCTACTTTCCAGAAAAGACAGTATAAAAATAAAATAAAAATTGAGGCTTTTGACTGTCCACTAAAGTACAATTGTTATTGTCATTTCTGAGCAAATTTTTTACATGTAAAAAACCTGTACACAGCATGCACACTTTCTATCATCTATGGCAGGTCTTAGGAACAAAACTAAACCCTTTTTTTAATGGCAGCGTAAATGTTGTACTGAGTTTATGTTGGGACTCTGGGTTCATGTCACTTAGAGCTATTTCCAGTTCCAGAGTTTTACAAATTAATTATTATTTACCTTGGTGTTGTAGATGCTGTAATAAATAACAGGTGACTTGATGAAGATGGCAGAGAATGAAATTTTTTGAGCCTGCAATTAAAAGTCCCAAGTTCCTAAACTAGAGAACAAATGTGACTCTGACAGTAACTGTATCAGATTTTGGAAAAACTATGCTATTTATATTAAACTTCCTCTATTTCAATTTTTGTAACAAGCTCGGCTGTCCCATAAAATGGAGGCTAATACTCTGCTAGAGGGTAGGGCACCGTGCAACTGTTCCAATGACAAATGCTGTAGATAAAGTCAGGTTCAGTTTTCCTGCAGGTCAACAATCCAAAGATCACGCCTCTTCCAGTACAAAATAGAAAGAAACAGCATTAGATAAACCTTGTTTCCTGGCAGAAATTGCCATAAATTTCTCAGTTGGAAGTGCTGCATAACACCGAGGAAATCACTGACCAGGCACCTGATTTACATTAGCATAAATGAGTGCAGAATGGCTGTCGTAGATGTTTTTGTCTTTTCCCTTCTCCCTTCCCTGTGTTGCATATTATTATTCAAGAATATAGGAGAAACTATTAAAGGTGATTAATCAAATTCCTTTGGATTCAAGTTTAAAGACAGTCTAACAAAATGGCACTATAAACTCCCCCCTTATTAGTGCTGTGCCTGCCTTTCCTGCAAGGCTGCTTCAAAGCAACACTGTTTTTTACAAAATAGAGAATCTGAAAATGTTTAAATTCAGTTTGTAATTAATTTCTTTTTATCTCTCAGGTTCTCACATCTGGTTAATACAGTCCTCAGTTCAGCTTGTAATGGACTGGCGACAGTTTCTGGAGTTCGTGAACCTTGAATCTGAAGGTAAGCCTCCTGTCACTGGGCACCTGTGGATTCTCTCTCTGACTATTTGTGCCCTTAATGTTGTCTGTTGCTATTCATAGTCTTTTTTATTTGATTTGATTTTCAGTCATGTGATGCAGTGATCCAAGTTCAGTACAGAAGGGTCTGTTGGGCTGCCAAAGCCAAAAGACAACCTACAGCAATTCTGAGTCTTGGAACAGACATAGCAACCTTTGGGATTATTGCTTAGCAACTGCAAACACACAGAGGAGTAAAACTCACAGCGCGACTCCACAGCAGGTCTGAGAAATCCCTAGTTCACTTTAAGATTTTTAATGGTTGAGAACAGATGGGCATATATTAAGTTCCTGTTCATTTGCAAAGCTGCTTTGAAAGCAGGAGGAATAAGATCTATTTTGATACCTGCTCCAAAGGTAAGTAAAACAGTTCTTCAAAGCTTCAGAAAGCAAAAGAGAAAATTTTAAATGTTAATTGTATTGAAAAGAAGATCATGTATGAAAAGGGTATTGAGCTGTGTGTGACTGGCGGGATAAACACGTGCTATGAAGCATGTTAGAGAAAGGCAAAACTATTTCTGAGTGATAGAGTGTCAAAGAGATTGGACTCTGTTTTTTAAAAGACTTTTGTAACTCAAACATCTCCAAAATATTTACCTAGACAAACTTTAGTCTTTTCTGGCCCTATCCCACCCATCAAAATCCCCTAACAGAATAACAATGAAACCATAAAAATCTTATTTATGAGCAGATTTGAGTTTTGTACAGAAAAAGGAGCGATTATCTTTTTGTACCTGCATGGATTCCAGCAAGAATATTTCTGTCACAGAAAAAGAGCCAGGAAGGTGGCATCCTTCTAAATAATGAAAAGCTTATCTTGCCTTCAGCTTGAACAAAGGCTTATAGGAAACTTTATATCACATTTCAAACTTCCTGGGTGTTTCCAAAGCTTGTCTCTGTGCACTGGGCTTATTATTATTTGGACAATCAAGCCTCCACTTGGGAACGTCATAGGCCGTGAGAGCTCTATAGATTATGAGCCAAATTCTCAACTAATATAAGTCAGCACTGAAGTTTATGAGCCACTGGTGTCTTATACAAACTGGAGGTGTGTCCCTGTAATCCTCAACAAATTCCAAGTTTCAGGGCCTGATTCTAGCACTCCATTTTTGTTCATTTTAACAGTTATGTGCTGTTTGTATGTTCTTCCATACCCTCGTAGTATTATTTATCTGTCCTGCATTAAAGCAGTGGGCATAGTTCTCTGTGCTCTGCATCCATTCTTGGAGTTATGTGAATGCCGTGGAACTGAGACAGAACAGTCGCACTTAGTTGTTTTTTGTTTGGTTTTTTTCTGTTCAGAGACATAGAGATACTTTATAAACGTTTACTAATCCTCAAAATCATCCTAAGAAATGGTTGAGAGCAGTGGAGAAAATACATTCATCGTCATTCAGAATCAGCCGCCTCATAAAGCAGAGCGCAGTTGTCACTTTAACATTGCACAGAAACAGCAGAGCGGTTTCATAAAGGATGTTAAAAAAATAACATAAGTATTTGAAACTGAAAGAGCGGATTATTTTGGCACAACAAAACCAGCTGATTTGGAATGTGACCAGAACATTTGGTTAACACCCTGCTTTGAAGCAGGAGGAGTCTGGTTTTACAGCTTATTGAAAGAAATTCACCTAAGCAAGGAACAATTTAACTGGGTTAACAGGTTTTGCTTTCTACTCTTACAAATCTGGACTCCTTTGCAGCTCATGTCCTTCGGTGGCAAAACCAGCGACCATCTTAAAACCCTCTGTGTGGGTCAGGCAGGCAGCTTGATCCATAAATCCATCTCACTCCCCAGCAGGTAGTCGTCTTTGAAAACAAATTACCAGAAGATGCCAACAAACCCATCGAGAAAACAGACATAGAAATTTAGTGCTGTGAAGCATCCTACCTATCCAAGCAGTATTTGGACTCAAACAATGGTTATGAACCAGAAGGTCAACACACTAGTAATTACATTTGTGTGCCAGGAGGGCCGTAGATCACATTTATGCATTTCCTGGAAGGCTGACCTCTCTTCAGAACAGCTACAAATGCTTAAACATGAAGAGCAGAATGTATCAAAACCAACGGTATTGCTATGGATACTGAAAGGCCTTAGTGAGAAGCACTTTTAAATAAGAACTTGAAAAGAATAGTGTGGCAGCAAGTTCAGAGTGGAGTTTCATCTTTAATTTGGAAAGGTGTTAGGCTCTCTCTATTAATGTTACCCTTCCCTTGCTGTTGTTGAACACTGAGCTGGGGTTTTTGCAGCATGCTAATGATTTTTCATGCTTTGAATCAAGTAGTTTGGCAACATTCTGCTCCATTCTGTATGCGTAAGTCCTATTACAGGTGCAGACAGTTATGTGTGGAGACATACAGCAATAGTTTTCAAATTGTACCTTGTCAGCAACTGAGTTTCTTCCTGATATTTCACAGAATGAACATTTTGAGAAGAAAACAGTGGAGTTCGGGAAATTGTAAAGGGAGGTATCTGCAACTCTGTAGGTCGGTCTTTCAGAGGATACAAGATTAAGTGCTTGTGAACAGCTTAATTACAGAGTTCATGGCATAGAGCTTCCCTTTCTGTAGGAGCTCTGCTGACCCAAACACCTGTGTCCTCATTACCTTAACAAAATGTCCAGAGATAAAAACAGTTGCCAAAGTTGAAATTCAGTAGTCTATGGGACAGGCTTCCTCAGTGTTTTTCACAGCTACAGAAAAGATGAAGCAGAAGGCAGCATGTAGAGAAATCTTGCGCCTAGGCATCTGGTATTTTCTGTTACTTGCTTCCTTTGTTTCATATCCACTGGATTTCCTGGAGGCATGGAATGAGACCTAAACAGAAATAATGATGCTGGGGGTAAGAGGAATCCACTGGTTAGAACTGGGGGACAAGACTTCTGAGCACTATGCACCGCTTGGTTTCTAAGTGACCTGGAATTAATTGCTTCCCTTCTGTGTCTCAGTTTCTTCTCCTATAAGAAGGAACCCACTTATTTAGTTGCTCTGTCTCCAAGGGCTGTTGTGATACATAATTAATCTTTATAAATCATTTACTGATCTTTGAAGTAAAGGGGCTGTATTTATTTAAGAGTACAAAGCAGCAGTAACAGAATAAAAAGGGAACATAGAAAAGGAATATTAGTTAATTCCTAACAATAGACTTTCTTCCTGTGTCATCTGCTAGGACATTGCTGCATCTTTTGGCACGATATAACATGCTGCTTTTGTTCTGTGTCACAGTGACTGAAGGATGGCTGGTCAGCCACGAGAAGCAGCCCAAACCGCAGATCTAAAACATCCGAAACTTGGAGATAAGAATATGACTGCCACAGAAATGAAGAGAAATCAAGGGAAGGATGAGCTGCCATGTCTTGGTAATTATGCTCCATGGAAAGACTGTTTTTATGAAAAGGTACAGCAGAGGTGTCTGAATCTGCAGGAGACCAAGGTGAAGACAATTCACACACAAAAGGCAAAAGAAGAAAAGGTAAAGAAGAGAGAACCCTGTGACTGGCTGTCCAAAGAGTGGTTCAGTGAAGAGAAAGAGTCACTAGGTACTCGCATCTATTTACTTGACAAACTCCTACCTACGTTAATCCCAGGACTGGAAAAACTGTTAATGGAAGTGGAAAGAAAGAATGTGCTTGAACCAGACAAAGAACCAACTAAATTTAACCCCATTATTTTTCTTGGAGAATATCTGATGAGACATAACCCTCACTATAGTATTTCTACAAAACCAGGCCCGTACCTGAGAGGAATGAAGATGGTTACAGAGGAGCTAAAAGCTGAGATGCCAGGTACAACGTCACAGAGGTGAGAGAGCTGAAAGTGTGGCTGGTCACAAAACCAGAGCTGGTGTCTTGGTCTCTGTTTTACAAAAGGAATGGTGTGACTGCAGCGTGGCTGGCAAAGTGTCGAACAAAATGAACCCTGTGGAGTACGGTGCCAGAGATGGTAGATGTTTCTCACAAAAATTCGAGAAGCAGGACAAATGCTAGAACATGTCACACAAAATGAAACACTAGTCATTCCTGTTTAAGGCAATATTCTGCCCTTCACGAGTATATAATGCCTCTTTAGGCTCTATATTAATTACACATGTGGAAGGCAAACTGCTTTCAAACCAGTCTAGGTTAGTGACAGCAGTTCTTTAGGACAGGTGTTAGTATCAAAGGTTTGTGAGCTCTTCAGATCATTTTGTCTATATTCTTCTAAACTTAATGAAAAGGTAACATTTCTTTCCTCCTTCAGGAGGATTTCTCTTGAGCAAACCAATAACAGTACTGTCCTGGCACATTGTAGAAGCTCCTTCTCCTGGGATTTTTACTCAGGCTTTCCTTTCAGATTCTTTTTTCCCTTTGAAGTAGAAACTGTTTTGTATTTTATTATGTTGCTTATTTCTGGGGTGTATTCTAGGCTGCTTGCTTTAGTGTAATATTTAACGAATATTGGAAGGGGGTTCCATGGCATCTTACAATATGCTAAGGTTAGAATGTGAGTGCACTAGGTGAACAATAATGCTTTCATTTTCATTGCTCTGTTCAGAAAAATATGGAAGTGAACATTTGCGTTTATAGATGACCCAGAGGTGATTCGGAATGATGTCAAAATTATTCATTCACTACTAGATCACTTTATTCTATATCTGTGTTTGTAGAATAATGACTTCTATTTGAATGGCTCTCTCTTCTATTTGCATAAATAGCACATACAGCTTGAAAATTGGTTTCAGGGTTTCAGTGTCAGGAATTAGGGAAGTAAAATGTTGACACGTCTTGTCCATAAATTCTCAATGAAGTTAATTGAAGTTCCCAGTATTATAATGAATAAAAGAATATTTTAAATCTCTCTCTACTGCTCTGAGTTTCTCTCTCTCTACATTTCTAGCCCACATACTGTTAGAGTTCATAGGAACATGCCTTGTGTGAATACAACTAAAGCAGTGTGGTAAGTGAATTTCATACAGTCACTTACCTCCTTTTTCCCCACAGATAAAAATATTATAACTGACTGATCATGGTCAGTGTGTAAGAGCTCAGCTTTTTGGTTTTTCCTCATAAGCAAACATACAGTAGTACAACCAGAGCTGGTAAAAGATTTTCAATTTTATTTTTTATTCTTTAAGTGCCGGTCCACTGAAACAAATGGTCTGGGGAAACATCTTCTTTTTCAGTGAGCTTTCACTCAGATTGTTCTGGGGGGATGTTTGGGATGCCAGCCTTGACACACCTTTGATTTGGGTACTGTTTCACTATTCATATTGCTTCACAGAGGGACACCTGGATGCAAGGAGTTCAGAACCATATCTCATTTTTATTTTCCAAAAGAAATTGAATTAAAAATGATAACATTTCCTGGGGTTTTGGGTTGGTTTTTTGTTTGGTTTTGCTTTTGGGTTTGTTTTTTTTCCCCCCTCTGCTAAAATACTCTTAGCTTTTTTTGTGAATCAAAGCTTATTTCTGGTGAGGTCAGATCTTCCTGTAGAATGCAAAGCGTTGGCTACCAGTGACATGTTATTGTGGCCTTGGCTGTTAAGCCCATGTTTACATTTGGAGACAGGTTCTCAATTTGTAGCTATCAGAGCTGATGCAAAGGACATGACTATCAAGACTTGTAGAAATAAATCTCTCCGTAGACAGCACTGCCACGGGGGTTTATGTAGCCATAGCTGTAGCAGGTTTTGCATATCCGCTGGTAGCAGTGTCGTGGGATTTGCATTCACAACAGCTCAGGATTTACATATTTGTGATGGCTGTATTGTGGGATTTGCATAGGATTCTTAACCACAGCAGCACAGAGGATTTTACTGACACCATGTAGCCCTGAGACTCCTAACGTGAGTCACTGGCTTTCTAAACAGGAATAAAATGTTACAGAGAAATGCCAGTCTGTGCTTACAGTCTCTCACACAAACACCAGAAAGATGAGGGGTGAAATTCTGGCCCCAGTGAAGCTCTCGGGAGCCTTGACATTACCTTCAGGAAGGGCAGGATTTCACCCCAGGTTCTTATCTAAAGCTTACCAGTCCTCAGCGAGCCCCCGCAGGCTTCCTCCAGTCTCTCCTTAACCGCCACCTGACTGGGAGTCCAGGCATGCGGGAGAACAGATGGGAGAATTTCCGTATCCAAACGGACTGATACCTGAAACAGAGACTTTATTTGTCCAGGGCTGGTAGTCCTTCAGTCTGAGTCACCCATCCTTGTGTGGGAGGTAGGCGGCTGTCTTCCTGAAGAAACATGTTTCCTTCTGCAGGGAGAAGTCACCCTCGCTGCCATCTCATCTTTTCTGGAAATGTTTAATACTGAAATGAGCTCACTTTGAAATGGGTGCCCAGCACTGTTATGGCCGTTTTTGCCGTTACTGCCTAGGGGGGGAAACATTTTGTCCCACGCCAGGGACACCAGGCAGAAGATGCAGCTGCTTGGTGTTTCAGGACTTTAGAAATAAATGCACAACTGCAGCACACAATGTAGCTTGTGCGGGGACACTGCCCAAATTAATCACCAGAGCACCTTGGCAACTCCTAGCACGGCCTTAGCTCTGCTTTCAGCTTGCAGACTGCTCCTGAGGAGGACCTGCAGCTAGAAATGGCCTGGTTTTCTCTTTCTGTCTGTAGCATACATTGGAGAAAAATCTGTTAGTCCATTTAGCTTGGTACCTGCTACATACCTCCTCTTTGCAGTGTCTGTGAAGGAGTCAGAAGATAGGAAATTATTTTCCCCTTCCCCTTCTATCAAAGTGCCGGAGGGTGAACTGCCTCAGCGGGCACTTGTGCGATGCCCATGACTGATTAAGGAACCCAGTTATTCAGTAAGAAACCTCGGTGATAAGTGGCCATGGAGAACAAGAACCTAGTGAGAAAACTGACCGTGATCAAAGTGTACGGCTGTAACACATTAAACAAGCCTTTCTATTCATTAAAGAAAATATCATTGTTTTATAATTTCTAGGATGACCCATAGCAACAGAAGAGAGCAGGCACAGGATCAGCCCACACTCATAGTGTGTGAAACACAGGGGGAAGAAGGAGGCAGAAATCGTTAATTAAAGTACAGTTTCTGGACTAGCGCTCTCAGGTACCAGAGAGGAGCAATTCCCCTGACTCTGCCTGGCTACAGAGGGTGTAAGGCAGAGCCGCGGAGGTGAGCAGGGCAGCTGTCTCAGTGCAGAGAGATTCCAGCAGCCTCCGTGAGCAGGAACCATTCTCCCCATGTGAACGGATCCTTTGGCTTTTAGCATTTTGAACTTCCTAAAGGCTTTTTTTCCATTTCATAAATGAACAAAGTCAAAACCAAAGCAGATGAGTTCTACGGGATCAATTTTATTCAGTTCTTTTGTTGTGCGAAATGAAGGATTGGGAAAAACATGACTGGGTGATTAGAGAAGCAAAGAAAAGGGAAGGAAGAAGAAAGGCAGGTGCTTTTAGTCCAAGCTTGCAAACTATGTGTTCAAAATGATGGGGAGGTTGGTGTATTGTCCCTGTCCTAAGGCAGTAAAGACTTTATTGTGTGAGACTGCTTAAGAAATGTCATTGAACGTTGTTCTTTGCCAGTGAAGTGTTTATGTGAAATGGTACTTGGGCTTTGAGACAAATGCATACTGATGCAATTTTGTTGGTAAATCAAGTGTAGCAAAATTAGGCACCTGTCTTCCTGCTAAAATTGAAAGGAAATTGAAGGACACCTACACAATAAATGGTCAGTGCCATTATAAACGTGAAGGTAAAATTTATCACTGTTGAAACTATACAAACCAGGAGAGCTGTATAGATGATTTTCCGTGAAACATCCACCATATACTCTGCAAGAGGCTCTCTCCACATGCACGTATCTGACACTAAGAGGTTATTTCTTCAGATTCATAGTTACACTGGATTTCAGGAGATGATACATATCAGAATATAAATACTCTCACCTCCTTGGAGCTGCCCTCTGAAAACACAGATTACTAGAATCTAGTCCAATAGCCACACTCGTAATTTTGTGCCTCAAACATCAAATATTTATTCGGAAAAAAAAATCTGCTTGTACTCGAAGGACAAGACTTTCAGTAAGAAGTTATTTCCTTTCCTTTTGTTCTTCAGGGTAGGCTTGATCTACCTTAAATATGTTTATGATGGTATCTTTCTAAACCTTATTCCCACATCCTGCAGGCTGGCCAAGATGAAGGCTGAGGCCAAGAACAAACGTAAGGACAGGGAGCAGGCGGACAATATGAAGTCTCAGGTGAAAGAGATGAGAAAGGAGGCACTGGCAATTCAGTTCAAAGAGTGGACAGTGGATGTCAGCGGCAGAATACCGGTTGCACTGGTAACTAAGGAAGATCCTTGTTAACACACTGCTGTGATTGTTGCAGACAGGAGGAGAAGGAAGATTGTGATAGTGCCGTCTGCCCTGGCACGGCAGCATGGAGCACAAGGATGGGAAATGGCTCTGACCTCCCTTAGGGCCAGGGTGCAGGTCGTGGTCTAGCACTTAGCCGCACCAAGCCCCGATTCCCCACGAGCACATGGAAGGATTGCAATGCGTTCTCCACAGAGGTCCTGGGAAGCAAAATGCTCCATAAGGTACTCGGACACTCCTGAGGTTGTGGATACATACCTCATCACTGGATGTCCTTCTCTGCAGCTAGTTATCCCTCAGAATCCCCTTAAAAAGGTCCGGGGCAGCCACTCTTGCTCTCCATTAAATCTTCTCTCTGCCCCTGTGACTCATACAAATTGATACTGCAGCTCATAAAAGATGAGATTTGCAGTAATTGTAATACATCTCTTGGTACAAGCATCTTTCTTACAAGTCAGACAAGGTCTACATTTAACAGGGCCCACCTATGTGTGGTAAGAAGTATGCCTGGCCCATACAACTGATTATTCTGGGTGATTTATTTTAGTAATTGCCTACTGTTTTCTGCATGAAACAGGCCTTTGACCATGACCTTGATTTGTAGGTTCAGAGTGCCCTGAGGTCTTTTCCAGATGTCGTTGCTTCTACTCCCATAGATGTGAGAAAAGGTAAGTTCTTGATGTGTGTCCTTTAGTTTCATTTCTGTGGTCTGAAATCTGGGGCAAACTGTGAGCAAAGAGCAAACAGACAGAAGAAGAATCTCTAAGGGTAGTTACACCTTTTGTGGTATGAACCACAAATCTTCAGACAGATTGGAAAGAGACTGAACCACCATGTGGTTCATTAATATGATCTTGAAAAGTATGGAAAGAAGTTTAAAAAACCTTTCAGAGAGAGAAAAATCCAGGCCCTTTCCACTTACATCCTTCATTAGCCAGACATTGCCGTGTGCTTATCAATATTTTTAAGAATCACTGTAACAACCTCCTCCTTCACCTGCCCGATCAGACCGTGTTTGTCTCATGGGAGGTCTTGGAAATCCCACGGGCAGTTTGGCATACTGGGAGGTATGGAGGAAAGGTAGGATCAACAAAATTAAACTCTGACAGTGTTGTTACCTTGTCTGGTTCCAGGGGAAACGCTGAAGCTTACCTAACGCTTCACCAAATAGCCCATCTCGGCTAGCCGTTCCCTTCGCCCGTCCCAGGCGTGCCAGTGACACACAGCACAAGGCCCTCTGTACCCCAGCACTCGGCACAGAAAGATTGCCAGCATTCCTGTCCACTTTATAGAGCTTACACTTGACCTCCCCGAGTAATGATAATGGAATAGATAGAGCCAGGGACATTGAAGTGGCAACTTACAGCCTGCTGCCAGCTCTTTTCGTCAAGAGCCCATAATGATCAGCAATAATAACAAATCTGCCTTTGCTGGAAGATGGGATGATAAGCAGGGAACTTCAGAATGCTTTTCTGCTTGCCGCTGGAGTCACCTCTGTCTAGAGCTTGCCCTTGCTCAGCTCAGCCCTTTCCGTATTACAGAATTGTTGCTCTGAGTAATCACCCTATATTGGTAATACGTTGCGCGAATGCTGAACACAGCCCTTGTGCTCCTGCTGTGGTGGCTGTTGTTCTGGAGTGTGATGAACAGATCCCGGGATGTCAGATTGAGAAGGAAGTTTCTGCCCAGATGCTTGCTCTCCAGATGCTGGAGGTGCTTTGTGTCATATTGCACTAATACTGTGGCTCCATTTATAATTTATTTCATTTAATAGCATCTCATATACATTAATGGAACATTAAGCTGTGTTTTATAGTTTAAAAAAGATAATGTACAGTTTAGGAATGTCTCAACCAACAAGAGAGAAATGCATTCCATGGTGAATTTTGCTCATTACTCCTGATATATTGTAAGAAGAAAGAACAGAAAAATAATCCCAAAAGAAACAGCATGTCTGTGCTCAAAGACTTCATTCAGAAATCTATGTAGACATTTGACATATCTTCTCAGTTCCATTATACTAGCCCAGAAGCTGACCAAAAGATAGTTTTGAATATCATCATCAGTAAAAATATTCCCACAGAACTCCTTGGGAAAATTACTATGATTTTCAGATTCCAGTCTTGCAGAGCAGAATCCATGTCCCCAGAATTTTAAGGCAGTTTTATCTTTTTTGTTAAATCAAAAATAATTTCTTCCCTCACGTAATTAATTGTAAGTACCATTAAAATCATTGCAATTTGCACCAACATGTCTCAAGAATAAATATGACCATACAGTTCTGAATAGGTAAGTGCAGATTCTCCGCAAGAGAAATATGTAAGAATCAGATTTAGATAGCCTCTATACAGTCAGATGCTTCAGCTACTGTGTAGGCTAACCTCAAATAAATGTAATCCAGTGTGAGAAGAAAGTTAATGTAACGTAACAGTATGCAGAAAAATGCGTACAAGATGCAAAATCACAACTGTTTGCTTTCTAAACCAATATCCCTTCATTTTTTCCTAGCAATCTATGACAGGAAGCTGGAAATCGTAGACACACTGGGAAAAAAAGTAAACGTAGATGAATTCACAGAGGTGAGAAATGAAATAAGAGCATCTGATTCAGAATCTGATGTATATCACAAAGCAGTAGCATTTCCATGGGGACAGCTAAGATGAGTAAGTGAAGGGCTTCGCTTCCCCAGCATCCCAGGTAACTGGTTGTATCAGGACATTTCATGTTCCATCTCCATCTCCATCCCCTGCTGTCACAACGCTTCCGTTCTGGCCAGCAAGGGGGAAGTAGTTTGCTAAACCATCAATCTGAAAACAACCAAATCTGGTCAAACTATATTTACTGGAAAACTCTCCAGGCCAAGACTTTGCCAGCCATTTCTACCTACGACAGAGCTAAATTTTACAGCTGGGTAATTAAACCTGTGAAAAGGCATGTTTAGAATAGAAATAATGACAGCCCTTCAATTGCAGCAGTGCTAGTGGGTGCTGTTAGAATAATTAAAAACAAAGCATAAAGCAGCTGTGCAGAGATTAATTTCAAGCAACCATGTGTGATTTTTGTGCCTTCTTCACTCTCAGGAGACTCACATGTTTGCTATTTTGCACAATATCATTTTGGGGATAACTTGTTGAAGGCTTTTTTAAGCATGAAATGAGATATTTTTAAATTTAACCTCAGAATAACTGCATTTAATTAAGAAAACTGTTGTGGATAATGGGAGCCCAGAGAATTGCTTTTGTCACTGAAATGAAGCATCAATCCATAACCCCTATGGTACCTGTATAAACACTGAATGAATTCATGCTCCATTAGCATTAGAAAAATGTTTTAAAATATATTTTGTGTGCTCTCTATTTTAACTCAATTAAAGATACGACAACAGAAATCAGAAGTACAAAAGACACGGACTGTCAAGCTGTCTGATTCACCAGCCAGTGCAGTGTTGTTCTCAGAATATAATCTCTGATGCTTTTTCCAGTCTGGTTTTAATTGAATCAAATGATGAGGCTTTCATCACTTGCCTTGGGAAACTGTTCCATAATCAGAGGCCTCGCTCTCAGGACAGGGCTGCTTCTAATCCTCAGTTACCATTTACCTTTGCTCATCAGTTTGCATCATCCACCAAAACCAGAAAGAGAAATGGTCTTTCTGCATGCTGGTCTAGGCCCTTTCACATGTGGAAAGCATTGCTTTTTAATGGACCTTAAAATTAAATGGCACTTTTTTTTTTTTCTCCTTTGAATTCAGTGCAGGTTTGGGTTACTTAAAAGTTGTTAGTAGAGACCTCACACGTTGGTGGTGTTGGGTTTGGGGGGGGTCGGACATGCAAAACAGTGGCTGTTGTATTTCTACGTCCTTCGTGACAAGCTCGTGGGGTCTTTTATATCAAAACCGTTTAAATCCCAGAGACCAGTCCTTTACCGTTTATTTCACCGGCTTTGTACTCTAACATGCAGAACCCCCAGCAGTCTGACCCAAAGCTATTGACACCAAGGGAAATACTCAAATTGCCTTTGTAGGGTCAGAATCAGGCTTTAAAGATGAGATTATTTTCCATGATTGCATGTGGCTTACTCGATTTCTACTGAGATCCGTAGGAACAAAAAAGCAAAGATCCATTGTTATTGATGACAATGTGTTCACAAACTACAGCGAGGTCTCACGCTGGATAGCAAGAAGAAGGTGTGCCAGCTTTCTTCTGATGGGTGTCAAAATCTCTTGGTTAATAATAAATAAATGAATGCTTATTGTGTGTACAGTACTTTACACAGGAGAGTGCTTTACACACATCAGCTAAGAAAAGCTTATGACTCTACGATACTTCCTCCTGCCTACACAGCCGAACATATACTTCTAAAAAATTTTCTGTGAAGCTGTTAGACAGCAGTATTAATACACAAGCCTTTGGATGTGTCATCAAGATGACACACAAAATAACAAGCTGCTTGTCCAACCTGCCTCCTCCCAGCTGCTGCCGTCTTTAAGGTTCATCTGTCACAGGGCTCTGGGTTGTAATCGCTCTGAAAAGCTAGTAGGGACACACAGCCCCAGATCTGCCACCTTCTCTCCAACCCACCTACATCCTCTCTTTTTATGCTGAAATGCAGAAAAACCACACATTGCGTTGGGAGTTCTTCTTTCCCACCAGCCACCCCTCAGGCCGTTGGCTGCTGCTTTTCTGCTTTTCCTCTCTTCTCCATTTGTCCCATATATTTGGAAATTATGCAATATAGACCTGAATAATAATAACACATATTAATATTTCAGTTTGTTAATGCCTGTGCGGCATTTCAACACGTCCAAGGTGTTCTAGCACTTATGTCAGGTATCCATACTCTAAAAATGGGATAATGGGAAACACTCTGTGTTTTGGAAATTCCTCTTTTCAACTGTATGGGCTCCCTGTTACTGTGGCTGGCTCCAGAAACCTGCTACAATAATTCAGCACAGGCTTTGGGATTGTGGTTTGTTCTGATGGCCATTATTATTTATGTCATGCACACCACATTTTTAGAACCATACTGCTTTTGCTCATAAAAACCACACGGCTATAAATCCAAAGTGTTAAAGTGTCTCCAAGGCTAGAACTTAAAATAAATCTCGAGTTAGTAGTGTTCCCAGTGTCAGAGGACTTAGGTGACAGCAGGCCCATTTTCAAAAGGTTCTGTCCTTTTTTTATTGTATCCAGATTGGTTCTCTAAACACTGAACTTGTGGGCAATGGTCATTTTGTGGCATTAGAGAGTTGAGTGACTGTCAGTTCTGCAAAAACTAATGGCTCAAATGCCTCCTTGGGAGTAAAGTCAGGAATACTAAATGCTGCAGAAAACCATGGAGAACTTACACCCTCCCTGAGATAACCTAGCTTAAGCAATGACATTTCATAGGACGGATTCTGATCCAGCATCTCCAAACCACTGAACGCGATAAGTGACGTCTGGGCCAGGAAGGGAACTCTTCAAGACGCACAGCAGCGTCCCAGGCTTGTTTGGAGAATATTGCTGCTTCTGAAAGAAAGAACAAAGTAGGCAGTGTGGCATCCATGCACCAAGTCTGCGTTATGCCAGCAGATTAAACTACAAATTCCTATATATTTCATTGCATGCAATAGATTTTTAGCCGTTCAGATAAAAGTGAAAATACTTGAAGAAAGCTAACCATTTACACTGCTGCTTTCTCTCCACAGTATGTCCATTCCTACACCAAACATTTTTCAAATGACATGTTCAAAGAAATCCTGAAGCATCTCTCTCAGTGTGCTGATGACTTCCAAGAAGCAGTAAGATGTGATATGTGGAGGCAAATGTTTACTGATCTCTTCCTGGAATGTGATTATGGAAAGGTAGGCAGAGCAGCTCTCAACCTAATTTCAATATGGTGATGCTCCCAGTTTGGTATTTCTCCAGGTCGCTGCTTCCTTTTCATTCTTCTTCACTCTAGATACACGCTTTGTGCTTACTCAGCATTATTTTAGAGGACAATAGCTGCTGCATTATCTTCAAATTCATTGTTCTTAGACCCAGAAATAGCCAATAGCCTGTAAGCTAATGGCTAATTAGAAACCAAATGACCTAATGTGATGACTTGGGGCTGAAGTTTTATGATTCTGGAGAAGAAATTAACCACAGTCTTTACTACTTCTAGTCATTACCTGTTCCTGCAGCACGTTCAGAATGTTTGGGTGCTAATTTTTCTGTTCAGCCGTATTTTAGCAAAGATAGCCTGATATAGATCAACCGTAACAAATGTTATGATTCTGGAGAAGAAATTAACCACAGTCTTTACTACTTCTAGTCATTACCTGTTCCTGCAGCACGTTCAGAATGTTTGGGTGCTAATTTTTCTGTTCAGCCAGCAAAGATAGCCTGATATAGATCAACCATAACAAATGTGCACATTACTACAATAGTAACATATATTGTGTTAATTATGTTGCATTACTTTATACACCTTTAGGGCTCCTATCAATAAATCTCATAGTTTAAATTTAAAATGCAAAATAAGCTATCTTTACAACCTCTCTGAGAAAAGTACTGTGAACTTCAGCCACAGTTTATGGACAGGAAATTAAAATACAGTAAGTCAGTTACAGAGCTGGAAATGGAACTCAAAACCCATAATTTGGTTTTCAGCATCTCTAAACTCTATCATCCTCTGAATATACCTGCGTACCCAGTAAAAAAAAAGCTAGACTTCCTAGAAAACCAGTAAATAGGAGCTGAAGAATCAATGGCATAAGCTATTGCCAAAAACTTGGGCTTCATCCAAATAGTATGGTACTAGTTACGAGTGGCCTCAGTTAGCCTGTTGCTGGCTACTACACAGCAAACTTGTGTGTTGCTATAATCTTACAGTTTTCTGCCCTACATAAATTATATATTCCATCCAGCACTCTAGTGATGTTTACAGCATGCCTACCCAGAATGAACTGTGCTCTACAATGTCATGCTAATAATGTCATTACCTCTAAGAGAATGGAATTACAGAGCACGTTTCAACACCAATGGTGTGTTTTTGAGAATAGCAGGCAAGCTGCTGTTTCAGGGATGAGAGAAGAAATGTGTCTGCTTCTCAGCTAGAAGACATTTCATTTTCCTATTGCTCTGTCAAGAAGAGCTATGATGGATCCTCCTGGGTAGAGTAATATATAAAGCTGAGTCCTATCTTTGCCATGAGTTTTGAAAAGATCCCTTCTTTCCCTTTCACGTTTTAATGTGACTTTCTTCCTATTATTTCTGTGGCAGTAGTCACCATTTCCATGATAGTAATCCCAGTGGAATCTCAGAGGCAAAGAGCCAAAAATGCTAGCATAACATAACAAGAGTGAGCAGCTATCAGCACAGACACCATCGCTGCCCGGAAAAAAATGATGAGAGCACAAACCTGATTGCCATTTCTAGCCTCTGAGGTAGCTTTGCTCTGCAAATTGAGTTCACTAAACTGTAGCGTGGACCATGCAGTTCTTTTAAACCTGACCTGGTTTCTTTTGTGTAGCTCTAATAAGTCCTGCTGTACTGTACCCACAAGGAAGATAAAAGATGCAAACTAACCCAAGGACTTCTACCACTTGAATGTGATCCATTACCTGTAGTACTCATTCTGCAAAGCACAGCAAAGCAGTTGTTTCGGTTCCTAATCTCCATTTGTTTGGTCGCAGGCAGTTATTCCAGTCTGCATGGTGAGCGTGGCTGGCTGCCTCAGTGAGTTGCAATTAGGGCCAGGGAACTGAGAAAGCAGCGTTTAAATTACAGTCAAATGAGAAGGTATCCACATGATCATTATTATGATTTCAAACGCATGCATCCAGAAGGATGGCAGCTCAGCAAGAACAGCCTGGACTGTAGACTGAAGCAGAAACTTTCCAAGACGATACCGGAACACAGTTGAATCACTGCTGTAACACCCAAAAAGGCAATAGTTCTGTGAATTTTATGCTTATTGTCTGTCTGTGCTCACATGCATCAAGTACAGTTTCTTTCATACGTTATACCAGAATCTGCATTCATTTTCAGGGACGTTTTAAGCCTGGGATCTTTAGATGCAACTGAATTTAGTCAGAGATCAGTTTTCAAACTAATGAAGTTTGAGACACTTCTGATGGCCTTTCTTGCAGTACAGCAACAAAGTCTGCTTTCTCATGACCTTTTCGGAGTGTCTGTTCTTCCCATCTCGCTCACTAACAAGCATATTGTCGTGTTCAGGATACACACATCGCATTTCCAGAAAAACAATCAAGAGGTTAAACACTGACCTATCCCTGATTAAATGGCAAGTCTGGTTTAGTCTGTGTTGCTAAAGGAATTACTCATAGATCACAGAGCACTGCTGAAAACAACTGAGAATCTTCACCTGCCAATATCTAGGTGACAAGAAAATGAGGTCAACATGTTTCAACTCTCTAGCCACTAAAGCTGGCACGCATTAGAAGTGGAGACAAGTTTTGGGCGGTTGTACCAACACAGATGGTCTGCTGTTATTTATAGTGGATGCTCTACCTGTCCTGCCAACGACTCAGTACGAAGGGCTGATGGGCAGGAAATTTCATCAGCCTCGCCAGTCACACACGAAATACAAAGAAACATGAGCTTTGGTAGTAAATTTGTCGACCCAGAAAGATAGTGTAACTAGGTATAGGGCCTTGGAACTGGTTTTCCTGTTGTAATGCTCCTCCCTGGTACAGACAGCTTTACTGTGACACGTTCCTCCCAAGGTAAGTTGTAAGGCAAAGGGTCCTGAAGTAACAGAGACCTCTGGTAGAATGGCAAATCTGTATAAATTGTAAATGTTAAACCAAGGTGGAAAATATACCCCTAACTCATATTCAGTAATTTCTGAAAAGGAATCTACTGTTTTTAACAATATCTAAAAATAAAATTATTTCTTCTAAATCACAAAAAACCCTCTTCTAGAATCTGAGTTACCTAAATCCTCCAGTAAAGTATATTACTTTAACATGACAAAAAAGTATCTGAATCCCAAAACAACATTTTTATTTTCTTTTTAATAATACTTCATTCACTGATTTACCTTTTTAATAAAACAAAACTAGGCATTAGTGCTGGCAGCTTCAAGGCAACCAGCAGATGATTGTGACAAGTAACAGCTGAGGAAATTTAAAGGGAAAATTAAATGTGTGTAATGGAAATACTGAATGGAGAATCCAAATGTTACGCAGTGATCTGGTAATGTCTTCAAAAACATGTTCTGTGTTTGTATGTCTACTAAATGGATGCAGAATCTGATCTGATATATTCAGCTGAAAAACAAACAGCATGAAGAAATGTTTGCATGGGAGCATGCAAGGTATTTGTATACTAATGTCAAGAAGATGAAGATACTGGGAATCGGTATCTGTACATCTTGTAAGTTTAGGGGCAGAATTATGTGATGACATTTGTTGTTCCAAACCCACACATGGCTGAAATTCAACTGTAATTTCCAGGTTTTTTTACCAGCA